ATGCAATACAGGTGCTGGTGGTGATGGTGGGCCTAATATTAAAAGAAAAATTAATTGTTAGAATAAAATTATAATAAATTCGTAGGTACAAAGATTCTTACTAACCACGCGGGATTTTTTTGTGTTTAAATTTTGGAGGTTCCATTGGATCAACAGGCATTTCTACCATTCTAATAATTCTTTGCGTTGCACCTGAATTATATGCCTCGCCTTGTTGCCCAGGAGTATACCGTATGTACGTTGGTTCTAATGGTTTATCACTCTTAACATTTTTTGGCTGCGCAGCCTTTTTTTTTCCTTGAGGGGGGGAAGAAGAAAAAAAAAAAAAAAAAATCAGTAATCAAGGTACAGATTGAACAATAAAAAATGATTAAATACCTTGTACTATCTTTTCCAATGCTTCCCTCGTCTTTTCAGTGGTTTCTTTTACCTCATCTTCACTGGGCCTATCCAAAGTTATTTGTTCAACGTCAGATCTTTGATTAACTGGTACCAAATCTTTGAATTGTGAATGAACAATTCGAGATTCGATATGACCTTGTCTCGCAATAGCATCATATCTAATATTGCCTTCTGCGTCGACTTGTAACGAAAGAGCGCCACCACTTGTGCCCTAAGATTATATTAAGTGTCTTTAGATATATGAAAAAATTGAATCTTTACTTAATTAAAAAATATCTGTACAAAATTATATTAAATACTTACCGTTTTGCTACGACCCATCTCCAACGGATATTGGGCTGTATGAATTTCAGGAAACGCACCCCCGTCTCCAAAGTCATCTATATTTCTTGGTTTCCATCCTACCCGTTTACCGTACGAGGGTGGTTGCTCTTTTTGCTTTGTAACCGTGAGTTCATCAAATTTACGTTCAAACTGATTTTGTTGTTCTGAATTTAATAATTGACGTCTGGGTTTTGGAAGAACACTAAGAATAAAGCGTATGCAATACAGGTGCTGGTGGTGATGGTGGGCCTAATATTAAAAGAAAAATTAATTGTTAGAATAAAATTATAATAA